TAATTATATAAAAAATAAATTTAAAAATATAATCGTATAAACTCCATTACCATTTTTAAAAACTCATAATATGCTTGTCACTTTCCATGTATAAAAAAAAAAAAAACTGTGTGCTACAAATTAAGCTTACTATTTATCATTTGCCTAGCTCACGTATTGTCGTTCATGAACACAACTACAAAGATGGACTTTTTTCTTTTGGTTGATAAAAATTAAAATTAAAATTGCCATACAAAGATGGCAATAATCGTCAATTTTCGATGGTGGAGGGGATCACTCTACTGGTGTATATTGAATTTTTTTTTTTTTTTTTTAAAATGTCTAATTGGCTCTCTGGCTAGTTTAGCAGATCCCCCACCCTACATTTTCCCCTCAAAGCTTAGCCTGTTGCTTAGTTGCCTTTAGCATTTTTGTTAAGCTTTAATTACCTGTATTCCCAACAAAAAAAAAATGTTGAAGAAAATGTGATGAATCGAAATCAAAATATAATATATATGATAGTGAAAAGAAAAGTAGACTCTCTTACAATATATTTGATTTGAGGGGAGAGAAGAGAAGACAAGGCGGGGATGAAACATTTCTTATTTGGTTAGTAAAAAATTTAGAAGGGAGGGGGGAGCAAAGTCATTTACTTTATCTTTTACTTTAATTTCTTCACTTGTCCAAATAAGAAGTGGAAGAATGCCCTCCCCCCTATTTTCCTCAAACCAAATATATTATTACTTAAAATCAAAAGTAGATATTTGTTATTTGTTTGAAGATCAGGTTCAAGTTTTGATTACAATTACTGTTGCATTCAAATTATAACATTATTGATATATTCCTTTTGTCCCAAAATAATAGATTTTTTATTAAAAAAATTATTGGTATGCTTTTTGATTCAATATACTCACCAACACCTACTGATTTAGTTATTAAAATTTGTAGTTGAAAATTTGCTTGCCTTGAATTTAAAAACTCCAAGGTGAATCTGTACAAAAGAGGGATTGTTCCAGATCTCCATCTAGCTACATGCATGTTATGCAATGAGAGTATTGAAGATATAAATCATCTATTTCTTCATTGCAAGTTTGCATATGCAGTGTGGTCTAAATGTCTCCAATGGTGGAGCATCTATTAGAGCTGACAATTGCTATGCATCTTTTGAACAACAATTAGCCTCTTTTAAAAATGTAAACATCAGGGCAGGTTGGGATGCAGTTTGGTGTGCAACAATTTGGTCTATATGGATAGTTAGAAACGAAAGGGCTTTTAGAAACCATGAGCAAGATGTCAATAGGATTTTTGAGCTGGTGCAATTGCGGACATTCCAATGGATCAAAAACAGAACAGTAGGGTACTCTTTTAATCTATGCAATTGGATGTTGGAACCTATGGAATGCTTGAAAGATAAAAGGGGAGAAAACTAATAGTGCTGCAAGACGGGGGCTAGGGGTGGATCCATGACAGCCTTAAGGTGATCCTTATCTACTGTTCTTAGCTAAAGGATCAGGTATCTCAACAGAAAGTCATCTGGAATGGAGGTGGAGCAATGAGCGAAGGAGTTTGTGTGCATGAAGCACTGATGGTCTTTGGGGTTCTAAGAGGCAGTTAAGGCATGCTCAGTGTATGTGCAGGATAGCGGGGAAATAGCTGAATGTTATTCATGATAAGTATAGCGATTGATAAAGATTTTGCAACAGAAGGCAGAAAGTTCGGCACTGGTACAGTGCCGACACACTGGATCTGGTGTAGACACTATGTTGCATGCACCCAAGTATCCAACACGGACGTGGTGCTGGCACATAATTCAGGAGTTGACACCATACGAAAAGGTTAGAATGGTATGATTTTTGAATTGTCAAGTTGATGGATTAGGATACCGCTTGTACTCCAGTTATTTATAAATAATATTTTTGCTGTTAAAAAAAAAAACTTATTACACTCCAAAACACATGTATTAAAAAAATTATAATTTTTAAATTTAAATTAAAGTGAAAAACCTTAAAATTATAAATTTTAATAGTGAAACTAATAAGTGTTGATTGACGTCTTGAATTAGATAATGCACTAATCATTTTCTTAATTTTTATTAATATATAATTCTTGTTCAAAAATTGGTGTTGGGGGAGAATCTAATTTCCTGAGAAATGGATACAACGCCAAACATGGGCAACCATTTTAGACTCGCACATTTCCAGGCACTTAAATTTATTAAAACGATAACCTTTTACATGCAATTAAAAATTCCAACCAATACATGAGAACGGCTTCTCAAGAGCGACAAAACCCTAGCCATCGCTTAGAAAGGATTTTCCTGCCACTTCCCTCGTCCTCATCGAGGATTTGTTGGTGGTCGATTTTTGGGGCTGCCTTTTCTGACTTGGTGCTGCCTTGTACGACTAGGTAGTGGCGGATTAAGAATGGACGAATGGTATATTTAATTTGGTTTCTGAGAAATATAGCGAGGAAAGAGGACGGATGATAATTTTAGTTAGTCAAAATATAATGTTTAGAAATAGAAATGATACATATATTTTATAAAATTATACATTTCATTACACACTAATAATTTTTGTTACTTGTTCTATTAAGACTGACAATTTTCATTACTTATACCATTAAAATTAACGATTTTTATTATACACTAACGAAAACGATCAGTATGTAACAGTGTATATAACTTTATAAATTGTATATATTATTTAGTTTAATTATTTAAAAAATTCATCTCTTCCCTTCTCTAATATTCTTTCAAACCAAACATATCCAAGTATAGGAACATTTTTTTCTCTAAAATTAAGAGTCGTCAACTTTTTGTTTTCCCTTAAAATGTTCAGTTGGGCGTGCTTCTTTATTTTTTTCAATTTTTTGGGCCCATGCCCAATCATAAATATAGGTATGTGATTGGGCATGTACCGAATTGTATAAAATTTTAAATCAAGTTAATGGCTAGTCATATTTAATTGGGAGAATAATTTACACACATTTTAATTTAACATATTACATAATATATTTATTAAAAAATTATTAATTTTTTATTTGAAATTAAAACAAATAAATTTAAAAATATAACCATACTCACATAATTTAAGAATTGTTAAATCGATTATATTTATATTACATTTTTAATTATTGAACTGAAAATATGTCAAAAATGTGTAAAATAGGGTGTATCTCAATTATTTTCCATTTAACTAATAGAAGAATAAAAAAAATGCAATAAACAGAGTTGATGGACTAAAAAGTACTTAAAATAATTCAAAGACAAAAAAATGTAGGAAATAATTTTAGCTTAGCTTATTGAATCAGCGTAGCTCTCGAGAAAACGCTCAATATATAGACACACAGAAAATTAATTTTCTAAACACTGAATCATCTGCTTCAATTATAATTATCTAAATCAGACATTCACAATTAAGTATAATTATGTTCAATAGTGTGAACCGTTGACCTTGTAGAAATACACCACATTAACAACAATTTTTTTTTAATTCAATGACTAAAAATTTGAGATTTCAAGTTAAAGGTCGATATTAAATTTAAACTTTAAATTAGGTGAGAAGAGATTTAAGAAAAAAATAAAACTATCTCTTTTCATATAACTTATTATTATCAAATATATCAAAATTAAAAAAAAAATTTCTTTTATTATGGGTTTCATAATTAATTAACTGCTTAGATAATTAGCAATAACATTTCTTTAAGTATTATAAGTCTCTCATGTAACAATTCTATCGGAACTCGATATATATATATTTATATGATAATAGTACCTATCAACCTTATCTCTTAAAGATTATGAGGAAAATCATTCCAAAACTATATCATTTCAATAAATTTTTATTGAAAAAGATTAAACTACCTTATTTTTAAAGCATGTATTAAGATGATTTTTGTTTTTTTTCTATTAATTTTTTTGGAAGTAAGCGAACAAGCACTAACCCTATTTATATATATAAAAGTTGGGCAAAACCCATTCTTAAGCCCTAGATTTGCCCCAAATTAGCATTTAAACCCTTGAACTAAAAATGATACAATTAAGCCCTTCAACTCCTCAACTGGTGCAAATAAGCCCTTCAACTATGTGTTTTGTTAAACTTATAACAGAAGTGCCAACACCTATATTATTGTGTTGATACTCTAAGTAGTTTTTAGTTTAGAAAACTTGTATTTTTAATTTAATCCTATTTTTTTGGTACTTTTCTTTGTCTTAATTAATTTGGAATTGACTCAAATTAGATCTCATAAAAAGGAAAACGCTTCTAATATTTATCTCTCTATTTATAAGATTTAAATTTAAAATCTTATTTAAGAAAAACTGATTCCTTTCACTTGAACTTAAAGATTGTTGATAATTCAGTCATACTTTTTTAATAGAGTTTTTTTAAAATAAATCAGAATCTAAAGTTTAATTATAAAATAATTATATATCTCATTTTCATTAATAAAAGTTGAAGATACCATATACATGATTCATGATTCATACATTATAAAAGAAGATAAAGAAACCGGAGTTCATAATTCATGACATTTTTTAACATATACAACAAAACTCTACTAAATGTCATAAATTAAACTCTAAATTTTATTAAAATATATAATA